ACGAGGGACGGCGACTGCTTCGATGCGCTGACGACGGCGTTCAGCGACTGCAAGTGTGAGTGCGCCGGTGGAGGGCACGGCGATGTGTGCGCCCCGGTGGCGGCACCCGTTGGCCCCCCTCCGCCGTCACTGCCGTCACCGCCGGCGTTTGGTGAGTGCCTCAGCGACATGGAGTACCCCGAGGTGGCGCAGGTTGTGGGCGGCGGGCTGTCGTGGCTGTGCTACCGCAACGTGACGTTCAGCGGGGCGTTTATGCGACTCACGGTGGATATTGCAGCGATGACGGGCGACGTGGCGAACGTCACATTTGACGGATGCACGTGGAGGGACGGTGCCTCTTTGGTGCTGGCGGGCAAAGCGGACTCCGCTGTGGGGTCGCTGAACATTGCCATCAACAACAACACGTTCGATGACGCCGTGCTGAGCCCCACCGGCGCGTTCCCACCGCGTACCGAGATCACCATCAGCGGGAACCGCTTTACGCTCACGATGGGGGTGTCTCGGCTGGGGTTGCCCCTTGAGAAAGCGTCGTCTGTCGTGATGAATGGGGTGGCGATCACCAACCACTCCGCGGTGGTGCTCAGTGACAATACGTTTCGGTCCGTGGTGGGAGTTTCAAGTGTCATCTGCGTTGTCGACTCCACGCTGCGGTTGTCGTGGGACTCCTTGTTCGCGGTGATGCGCAACACGTTTTCTGTGGAAGGCAGAAAAAGTGTGATAATCCAGCGTGGGGGCTCGGAGTTATACCCTTCGCTGGAAGTAATGAATAATTCTGCCGTGGTGGTCCAGGGCAACGTTGTGTCGAAGCCGGTAGCGTACATTATCTACTTGGAGCGGGCACTGCGTGTGGAGTCTCTGTCGGTGGTCGTGTTTCAGGGCAACATCATGCAGGGATCTGCGACTGCGTTGTACGCGGCTTCTTCCTTCTATGTGTATTACGACTCCTGGGTGCAGGTGAGCCGCAACCTCTGCCGCGGGTCCCCCGAGCATGCTTTCGTCTTCGTGAAGCAATTGCTGAGTCTCCGCAGGTCGGTGCTGTCGGTGTCTGGCAACCAGTTCACTTCCGACAATGAGACGCTGACGGTTCTGCGGATAGACGGAGGGTCCAGCGATCTCCCACACGGAGCGGTTGTGGCCGCCTGCAACACTGTGAGCGGCGGAGGGGAGGCGAGCTACATGATCCCGCAGGCGTACAACCCCACGATCCGGAGCTGCAGCGACCCGTGCACCCTCGCGGCATCGTGCTTCCCCGCCTATACGACGACGGCTACCGTGGATGACGGCTGCGCCTGCACATGCGCGGAGGGCGGTCACGGCGAGCACTGCCTGCCCGTCGAAGTCCCCAAAATTCATGGCGGTGACGTCGACCCGTGCGTGCGGGACATGAATGTGACATGGGACGTAATGGCCGGGTTTGGGGTGTCATCGGTGTGCTACGTTGGTGTGACCTTCGCCGCGGACGTCGTGGTGGGCGTAGGTGCGATGTCTGGGAAAGCGCGCAACGTGACGTTGACGAACTGCACGTTCGTGGGTGGGGCAAGTCTGTACGTTGTCGGGTGGACGTTTGACCCGCCTGCTGGGATGCAGGTGGATGTGTTGCTCAGCGGGCTGAAGGTGCGCTCCGGCGGCGGCGTGCTGGTGGCGAACCGATACCCGCCGGGCTCGCGCGTGACGTTGGTGGACTCGGCGCTGATTGCGGAGAGGCGTGTTGCATACCGCAGCGCCTACGACCTTGGCGGTGCGTCGGGGTGCCTCGTGCTGTACAACTTGAACCTGACGGGGAGCGTGCTGACCGTCGCGCGCACGCAGGTGGTGGCGGTGTTCAGCGACGCCGTCGGCGTGCTGGCGGTCGGCGGCGTGGCGCTGTCGTTGCGCGCGGCGCTGTACCTGGACCGGCTCTCGGTGCAGACCGCGCTGGGGCTGGGCGTCTCGGTGGAGGGCGGTGTGACGGCTGTCGCCGGCTCCGTGTTAGCCCTTGTGGACAGCGACTTCCTGCTTTGCGAGCACGCGGTGTCGGTGCGTGGGGATGTGAGCATGTCGGGTTCTGTTCTGGAGTTTGTGCGGAGCGACTTTGCGTCGACGCAGAGCTACGCGGTGATGTTTTCTTCAGCGGTGGGCCTGAGCGGCGGGGCGATGCTACTGGCGAAGGAGAACGTGCACGACAGCATCTCAAAGGAGTTGCTTTACGCCGCCGGTGCCGTGACCGCGACAGGGAGTACGCTGAGCTTCGTGCGCAACCAGGGGCTCTTCCTGCGGATGCTGTCGGTGAGTGTCTCGCTCGCTGCGGAGGCGCAGTTGCGGGTGGCGTGCAACCGCGCTGATGGGCGTGTCCTGTCGACGGCGGACGAGTACGCCGCCGCGGGGCTTTGGCGAGGCAGGAAGCATTGACGTTGTTGGGTGTGGCACTTGCGACAAGGACACGTACTGCTACGCGCCCGGGACGGCGTCTGCGAGCGAGCAGGGCGGCGTGTGCGTGTGTGCGTGCAGCAGCGGCAGCGGCGGCGGCGGGCACGGCGAGGCATGCCTGCCTGTGGGGGAGCCCGCGCTGCCGCCCGCTGGTGGCACCGCGTCGGGTGTGTTTCTCCTCGAGGGCGTGACGGTGGTCGGTGTTCGTTGTGCCGAACGGCGCGCGCGAGGTGGCGCTGCGCCACGTGGTGCTGGACGGCGTGCAGCAGGTGGTTTACGTGCCGTGGATGGCGAGAGGCGACGCGCGGATTGTTGTTCAGAACGTGTCGCTACGGAACGGCGCCGTTCTGTACGTGATGGGCGGCGGGGGACTGCGCGGTGCGGGGGTGACGGAGGGCGACGAGGTGCGGTCGGTGGAGCTGTCGGTGTGCGGCGTGGATGCGTTCAACGGCGCAATTGTGCTGACGGGGAAGTTCCCTGTGGGGTCTGTGATGACCATCACCGACTCCCTGCTGATCACCACTGAACCGACGCCGTTTGTGTATCTCCCAGGCTCGGAGTCTTCGCCGTACGCCCCGGTGCTGGTGCTGTCGGACCTGCGGCTGGTGAATTCCACGCTGGTTGTGTCTGGCGTGGCCTTCCTGACGGTTACGAGGGATGGGCGGGCGGTGGCGTTCGACGGGGCCGCGCTGGAGCTGCACGGCAGTAGCGTGGCGCTGGACGCGGTTGTGTTTGGCGGCGAGTCTGCGTTGTACGCGAGTGCGCGCGTGGAGGTGGCGGGGGGCGCAGTGCTGCGTGTGTCGGAGAGCCGGGTGTATGCCGCGCGCGGGTTGGTGTTTGCGGGGGGCCTCGCGTCGAATGCGTCTGCCGTCGTGGTGAACGACAACACCGGTGTGCTGAGCGAGGGCGCGATGCTGGTGCTGTGGGGGTCCGCGTCGTTGGCGTCAGGGTCGTGGCTGTCGGTGCGCGGCAACGACATCGTCGGCAGGCTGCTGTCGGCACCGTCCTACCCGCGCGTCGTGGAGCTCAGGCAAAGCATCCTCACGCTGCACGGGAACACCGGCAGCGGCTCCCAGGTGATGGACGGCGCAGTTTCGACGGGGGGCGCCGGTGGGGAATTTGTGGTCGGCTGCGTGCGGCACAATGGGCGGGCATTGGAGGCGGCGGAGTACGCGTCCGTTGGCATCACGGGATACACCCGCATTGTGGCATGCAACACATGCGATGTCGGTGTGGGATGCTTCGCCGCGGCGACGAGGTCGATGTCAGACTCCTGCCGGTGCCGCTGCGCCGAGGGCGGTTACGGGCGCGACTGCCTGCCGCTGCAGCTGCCGCGCGTGGACGGGTGCAACCGCACTGTGGACCGGCAAAACCGCACTGTGGACCGGCAAAACCGCACTGTGGCGTGCCCGGCGCTGGGAGTGACGACGCCGTCGGGCCGCGGCCTGACGCTGGCGGACATCCGTACAAGCAGCGCGGCGCCGAAGAAGCTGACGGTGGCGCTGCCGCCCGGATTCCGCTGGGCTCGCGACACCGACCTCCGCCCGTACTTGAGCTTCGCGTTGGCGT